ACCTACTACTTACTATAGTAGTAGTTAATTAGTTCCGTAACCAGAACTTAGTCTACTGTTGTTGGTTGGTACTATACGTATGTTGTATATATATATATATATATATATATATATTATATTTTTTTTTTTTTTATTTTATTTTTATTTTTTTTATTTTTTTTGCTGTGTCTATTATATGGAAAATCCGTGGATCACGACAGGAAAAGAAGAAATGGGTTCCTGAGAAAAATTATTGCTTCGTAAATTTCTTACAAGAATCTGAGAGATTGGAGTTTGCTGAGAGAAGGAGGAATTGAGCCTGTGAGGTTGTTTTGGTAGAGATCCAAACTGATCAGATTTCTCAAGTGTCCAAGCTCCTTTGGAATTTCCCCCACCAAGTTGTTCTTGTATAGCTCCCTGTAAAGATGGAAATTTTCATTAATTTCTTACAAATCATCTTGGCTTTTCATAACAAAGAAGCAAATGAAGCGCTCAAATTTTTAAACTAGATAATTTTGGTGAATTTCTTTTGTTGATGAAAGGCTCTCGAAGAACATTCATATATAAAAGACAGCACTCATGTCTTTTGATTTAATTTCAAAATATCTAACAAAAGACACATGATCATGATAAGAAAAAAATTACAAAAAGGTGAAATACTACAATGTCAAATAATTCATCTCTTATAGGTAATTTGATAAATTTTCCTTTCAATAAATGGTGTCAAACAGTTCAAAAGCAATTAATCTTTGTGGTGGTCCAGATTATTACTGTGTAATTTTTTGGGTCAAAATCCATCTTTAAGGTGAATATTTGAAAGGTTCCCCATTATAGGTTGGAGGCACTCACCACCAATGTTAAAAAAGTCGACTTGGGTCGACTACTTGGTCCATGCCCCAGCGGAGTACTTTCCTAAGTCCGAGTAACTCCGCCCGAGTAATGCAGCAGTTGAAAACTATTAAAAAATAAAAAATACAAAAAGAGTTCCCAAAAAACATATTCAAAGTAAAATTTAACGTAACATAATTGGTGTGGTTTCCATAAGGTTGCAACCTTCAACAATCCAACTAAGGTGAGCCTTCAAATTTTATCATAATATATAATTTTGATGTAAAATGTTCTTAGGATTATCTCAAAATCTATTTTTATATTTAATTATAAAATTTTAAATTCCAAAATTGGTTAAAATCAAGTAGATCTATAAACATATGAAAATCTTGAAAATGGACGGTGTAGATAATATGTTGTAAGATACACTATTTTTGAGAGTCAAAATCTTTTTATTTTCATAGACATACATCTCGATGTCGAGATGATCAATCACAAGGTTTTTCAACATTAAAATAATCTTTTTCCGATGGATTTTTGAGGTGCATCCGTAGTTCCACATTTTAAGGTTGCAACCTTGTATATAAACTTTTTCCAAATATTAATTAATCGTGGTTAAAAATATAGGAAAGCTTTTTTAAAAATGATTATGTGACTGGGGGTAGTTTTGAAATTTTCTAAAAAAAAATATTAAAAAATATAAAAATAAGTATTAATTACCAAAGTGATAGAAAACACAAATAAACATGTTTCCCATATCTATATTTAATTTTTTTAAAATCCCCAGGCGGAGGCCAAAGAACTCGAAACGACTCGGCCAACTTTTTGAACCCTGCTCAGCACAGCCCCTACTCATTTTTAGAGTTAAGGACACCCCTTTAAGGCCTGGGACTTTTGAAAGACTCATTCATTTTTAGAGTTAAGGACACCCCTGTAAGGGCTTGTGCTGTCCTATTTTGAGGACTATAAAAATACTTCATTAATACAAATAATTGTCAAGCTTGAATAAAATGAAGTGTGACAAGAAACAAAACTGAAAGAAGCGGAGCAGGCCAGAATGAAAGAAAGAAAAGGCCAAGGAAATGAAATTTAATGGAGTGAACTTACAAATACTGCAGACTCTCTAATCTGCCAAGTTCAGGTACTAATGTACCAATCAGTCGTGCATTTCCAAGGTCCCTGCAACACCAAATAACCATGGTCACGAGAAGCCCATTGTTGTTTGTACTTTGAAGAGAGAGAATTTGAAATACTAACCCCCAAAGAAAAGAAAAACTGAAAACGTATAAGACAGGCCTCATGGTTAAAGTTAGATATATATATATATATATATAGAGAGAGAGAGAGAGAGAGAGAATTTGAAAAACTGAAACCAGAAACTAGAAACCCCAAGAAAGAGAAATCAATACTCATGAGTCATGAGAGAGAGAGAGAGATTTACAGTCTAGTAACTCTGTTATCATTGTTGCAAGTGACATGAAACCAGGTGCAAGGGTTCACTAAAGTGGGGTCCCAGCTTTGAAGCACATTTGCAGGGTCATGAAGCGTTCTCCTTAGTGCATAGAGAGCATCACCTACAAGAGAGAGAGAAAGGAAACAAATAAAGAAATCAGAAGAGAGAAAAGACCCATCTTGTTCATGAAACCAACTGTTCTAAAACCTCTGATTAAGCCAAAAACCTCCATGCCCTCTGGTTAAAAACAAACATTCATGGGAAAAGCTTGAAAGAATTACAGTTACCTTCAGTATTGGCATTCACAAATGAAAAGATAGCACAAAAGAGGAAGAAGAGGACACTCAAAGCCATTGCTAAGCTTAGGAAGACTCCTTTGACAGGCAAGTCCACAGAAAACTGGCCAATTTATAGAGAGAGAAAGGCCAAAGTGGACCAACACCAGCAGATTTCTAGAGAGAGAGAAAAGGGAGATAATTGAGAGCTTTGGAACAGACAGGTCTGTTTCATGGACTCATTCCCTGCAACCAGTAAATTTAATAAATGGAATCAGTGGACCCAACAGAACCCAAAAAATTCCGTTTTGAAAAGCCCATATTTAATTGAGATTATCTTGATATTTAGTGGAGATCTCAGGGCAACTAAGAAACAAGACAAAATGGTAAATTCGTACAATTCACCATTTTCAATGTTGCAAATCATTTTCTGCTTCAAAAAGACAAGAAAAAATTGGGCAACATACCGTAACTTTTACGGTATGGTCCAACTTTTCGCGGGCTATTTTTTATTTTTTAATTTTACCTCTAATCCAATATTAAAACATCTGTTTTGTTTTTATTTTATTTATTTATTTTATTATTTTTATAATTATTATTAAAATTATCATTATTATTATTATTATCATCATCATCTATAATCACCGGTGTTTGATGGTTTGGAGGTCTATTAAGAGTGGACTGATATTTCTAACATCTGACCACCGTAAATTTATATATTAAGGTCACTTTAGCATTGTTCAATATTGGACCACACCAGGCTTCAAATTTTTTGAAGTTTGAATACCAATCGTATCAATAAAAAAATCAAAATAAAAAAGTAATTCGATGTTGCAAATATTAGATTGGAGAAAAACTATAAAAAAAATAACGAAAAAAAAAAATAACCCATTCATAAATTATGCGAAAAATTGGATTACATCTTAATACCAAAAATACAAAATTATTACATATGTAATTGTCCAAAAGAAAACAATAAGAGGAAGAGGAGCCTGGTTAAAATAGGGTCATGAAGAACATAACAGCCCTTATACTAATTTTGGACACATGTAAAAAGAAAATTGGGAGAATTTAGTTTGGGAAAAAGTTTATATAAAGTTGCAACCCTAAAATGTAGAATTAAAATTGCATCTCAAAAATCCATAAGAAAATGTTATTTTAATATTGAATAACCTTCTTATTGACCATCTCGACGTCGAGATGTATGAATATGAAAAAAACAAGGTTTTGAGTATCAGAAATAATACATCTTGCAACACACTATCTAGACCATTCATTTTCAAGATTTTCATATATTTATAGATCTACTTGATTTTAACCATTTTTGAAGTTTAAAATTTTATAATTAGATATGAAAATAGATTTTGAGAGAATACTAATAATTTACATCAAAATTACATGTTATGATAAAATTTGGAGGTGCGCCTTAATTGGATTGCTTAAGGTTGCAACCTTATAAAAATTACACCCTTTAGTTCTTTAGTTAATGGTTGTGGTTTGTATAAGGCTCAAGCCTTAAACCATGAAAGAAAGGTGCACAATTAAATAGTATTTAAAGATATTATTTCAGTATTGAAAATCTTCGTGATGGTTTGAAAATTTATTTTCATATGTCATTATAAAATTTAAAGGTTAAAAAATAGTTTAGATTGAAAATATTTATGAACGCTTGATAATCTTGAAAACTGACAGTTCAAAAATACAGTACATGCACTATTTGCTAGACTTAAAATCTGTTTTTTCTCATGTCTATATATGTTGAGGTCGAGATGACTTATTCAAGGCTTTTTGGGGGGTCGAAACAACCTCTTATAGTGAATTTTTTATGTGTGTCTTAATTTGATAGTTTAGGGCCTCAACCTTTTATATACTTTTTTCTTATTTAATAACACTAATTTTGGAGGACATTAGCCTAAATTTCCATAAAATAATGCCAAATATGAATTTAAATTGCTGTTATTTTCTCTATAAGAGAAACTACGGCATTCTTTTGAAAAATTAAAAAATACTATAATTTTTAGATATTCTTTTTATTTCATTTTCTAATTATTTTCCTTTTTACTATTCTTATTTTTTATTTTTCCAATTTTTTCTTTTTTTTTATTATAAAATATCATTAAAAAATGCCAACCCACCTCAATAACGATTTTTCCTTTGCAAAAGCAGCCCCATTACATTCCGTAATTCTAGCTGCTTTTTAAACCTCTGAGCGGAGTACCTATGGCATGAATATAATTACTGTTCTACCCTCTTAGAAAAGAGTTACTTTCAACTTTTATTTTGAATTTCTGGGTTCTCTTTTACTTGGTCATTTTTCGGAGTGTTTTAGTGGGAAGAAAAGTGAAAATTCGGTGCACGCTTTTGACTGTTCTCTTATAGGGAACAGGTTCCTTTGTAATCTATTTAATTTTTCAGGAAGAATATAATCAAGGGAATGATGTCATAATGTCAGGGTCAACCTCGACCGTTCGTTTTTGAGTACCGACGATGAAGATTGAAATGTACATCAACTTTGTATTCTAAGTGATTTGACATAAGACACATTTTAACTGGCATGGTGGTTGCAAAACACGGTTCCCTTTATCTTTGGAACAATGTGGTCACAACTAATTTTAATTATCATGTATATTACAAAGTTTCGAGAATATTTTTTTCGACTTCGAGCTTATTAAATGAAATTTTTTTAATTTTTTGATTTCAAATCTAAGAGACAAAAAATGATTGTGATCTCCTTGTAAAAACAGTAAATAATATTATTGTATATATTTATGAAATATTTTGAAATGGACCCGGTTTTTATGCGACCAAGCCTGTATATGTAAAAATGCGGGCCTCTTAATAAATCTATTTTTGAGGTGGATTTTTGGGCTTAATTTTTAAGGATATGTAATCTATAACATGGAGTTCATGAATATGAAAAAATATATAAATTTTAAAAACTAGAAATAATAATACTAGTAAGCAAACATTTGGACCGCTAGTTTACATTGTTTTTAGATTGAACACTTCCTTGCATCCATCTTTAAGATGGATGCTTTACACTTTTTGGACCGCATATGTAGTCATGCGGTCCAGCCTGTGTGAAACAATTTTCCTTTTGAAATTGTTGAATTCAAGCGTTTATTGGAGGAACTTGTGTATAACTCTAATCTTATGTATGCTATATGCTCTCCATTTTTAAGATGAATGGGGGAGATGGAAGTTCTAACCATAGGTATCAAGACCAGATGAATCGATGGTCCGATAGGTTAGATTGATGATTGGTGCCTTGGCCTATTCGGTCCAAAATAAAAATCAGGTTCGGTTGAAAATCGATCAAAATCAATATTTGATAAGTTTTGGTTGGTTGGATTAATCAATTTTAACTAATTTGACCAGCTAAATGAAGTTAAGCAATTTTTTTAAATATATATTTTATTTATAAACTATTATATTAAATTTTCTTTTCTTTTTTCTAAAATTTGGTTCAACTAATGATTGAACCAATTTTGACAGGACCAAACCACTCACCCTTTAAATGACCAGTAACATTGGTTCTAACTAAACGTGAATGTAATGAACACCAATTTATACCACATTTGGGGATGGATATCGTGAAAGAGATTATGAGTGCATATACTATACTTCCAAAGGATCATATTGGACATGTACTCCCTTGCCTAAATCAATTAGTTGGGATGATTTTTTCGATTCTAGTTTGGGTTCCACCTTCTAGTTCTAATTTTGGGATCCATCTAGATTATTGTTTTTTCAAAAATGGATTTTGACTTTAATTATTAGATCTCCCCCTCAACAAGTTGAACTGTCTCTAACCAATCCTGAGACATATACATTTTGCAATTTGAAAAATTCTGTCTTAGAATTAATCGCTAAGTTTAACAGGTTACATTCTAAAAGTAAATAGATAATATGCTCCCGAAGAGCACTAAATCTTGTGGCATTTATATTTTCTCAAAATACCAAAGAACCACGGACCACTTGGCTTGCACAATATTCATGCAAGCTGCGAGGTCCGATATCCTGAACCTCAAATTGATCCCTGGGCTAAAATTCACGGTCCAAGAACCTTTTCGAGGTTCTAGACCTAGGATTGCTTTGGCTTACTCAATCTTCACAGAAGCCAGCGGTCCGCGTATCCAGACCTTGGATTAGTCCCTGTACTTTTAAATTTTTTTTTAAAATAAAATTAAAAAGCAGTATGATGTTTGTAACTTGTATTAGTTTGAAACATCCAATACATGGGCAAAATTTAGGAAAAAAAATAATGGACCGTTACATAAAATTTGCAAAAAATTGGATCTGTACATAATTTCCTTTTTTTATTTATGGTACGGATGCATTTTTCCTAAAGACTGATGAGTCGAGTTCCTTTTAAAGTATAGCGAAATAAAACTTGGACCTTTTTTTGGATACGAGCAGACATCAAACCCAAGTGTTCTGTAAAGCTCAAAAAAACCTCAAGTACTCTACATTCTAACACCTTTGATGTGCTTCAACTGTAGATTATGAGGCACGATATGCTGTCGTTAATTTTAGGATATAACTAAACTAAGTGAAATACTTATTATAATAATGAATTTTAGAGTTGCACCTGGTGTGTTGCTTTTTTTTTTTTAATAAATCAGTTGCTTTGGAAAATAAATAGGGCAAAACTAATTTTCCTTTCTGTAGGTTTTAAAAAAGATTCAATTTCGATGTGCAAAGATGAAATTTCAGAAGAAATTGTTGAAAGTTTTTGAAAAACCTTAGGTTCTTAGTTTATCGCTATCAAAACTGCGAAGGTGCTTTCTCTATCTAAAGCTTAAAAAGCTTTTTTGTTCAATTTGATGTGTTTGTTTATAGATATAAAACTCCATCGTCGATCTAATGTTGAACCAGTGAAGCAAGTGTGTGTAGTTGAAGGGATGGTATTCAAAAGTACAAAAGTACAAGGGAGTGGTTGAAAACTTAACCATGATACTCATACACACCCTATTGATCGGTAATCATCATCATTTGATCTCAATATTTGGAGTTGGCTACACGAATCTTATTTGTATTATGCCATTTGGATCAAAATTTATGATTAGAATGTGACAATTTTTTTTATTGACTACCAACCTCACACATCCGTCATCCTTTCTCGTCCGGTTATGGGCAAGTAATGGTGAAGTTCCCTTATTAATTGTTCAACTCCAATACACCCAGATGTTCCCTTATTAATTGGGTCAAAAAGTTTGAGCAAGGAAGAT